CAATACCAAATTTTATGATGATCGGTCCATAATTGACCCAACACTCCATATAAGAAATAGAAATATCAGTACAACGATGAAATTCCTCATAACTAACAAGTAACAAGTGAGAGTGTTATATTCGGCTGTGTCGAATCTCATATACCCTCCATCAAACAGTATGCCATAAAAGGAATGCTCTCCTAACACTCATAAGAAACTTACTTCATCTCAATACTCGTACTTTTAGGTCAGTAATGAGCGTTAGAGTAATTTTCTGAAGGGGACCTTATGGTGGTGTGTTAGTGTCAATTATAGACCGATCCACATATAATTTGATAGAGATATTTTGGCTAGTAAGACACTTACTTAAATCAAATTTCATCGCTATACTGGTATTTTTAATCCAGTAGTGAGCGTTAAAGTAGTTTTCTGAAGGGGACCTTATATGGGGGGTATGGTCAATTATGGTCCGATCCTCATACAATTTGGTAGAGAGGTTTTGTTTTGAAAGTGACTTACTTATGTCAAATTGCATCGTTATACTCGTAATTTGAAACCAGTTATGAGCGTTAAAGTCATTTTCTGATGAGGATCTTACGTGGGGGTAGTAGGGTCAATTATGGACCGATCCACATAAAATGCGGTAGAAAGATTTTGGTTAGTAAGGCACTTAATTGTGTCAAATTTCATCGCTATAGAAACACTTTTAAAACATATATGCCCGTTAAGGCTGTTTTTCTGGGGGCTATACGAAAACGCAAACCATTTTCATTTCCAAACAAACCTTACCTACACGCAGAGAAAAAACATGGTTCAAAATGGTTATTGCAACTATCCCATGTTTACTGTAACAATATATTGTTTTCAAAAACATATAATTGTTATTTTAATTAGATTTTAACAATATTTAAGTTACTGTAAACATTTTCATGTTCCAGGCAATTATAAATTTGAGTATAATTCACTGAATCATAATTATTTTTACAACAACTAAATACTGATAACAAGGAAAACATATTCTGTTATTAACAACCATTTAAACTTGCAAATAACCATAATATGTTATGTTATATAACCATTGTATGTTATGTTGTTATAAAAAACCATTATATGTTATGTTGTTATATGTCTGCTGATACATCAACAAATTAATACAACAACAAAACAACTTTTGCTCACAGAGATTACTTTTTCGTATGTGTTTTTTACGCCACAATAAAATGAATAATTCTCATTTGGTTTATAGCATTAAATGTATAAGTATTTCAGTTTGCATAGAATAATCTAGTTATGTTTTTGTGAATCAAATTGAAATTTGCGAAGTGTGCTAAGTATTGTAAGTATGTAATCTTTATTTATATATATATATTTTTTTTTTTTTAGAAACTGTAATTTTACTGCTTCAGTAAAATTTATTTTTATTTCGATACATAGTTTTGAACGAAATTTTGAACACATTGGATCATAATATGATCATGTATAACAATATGATAAATAGCAAAATATTATGATGAAATAATTTTAACGGTATTTAATCATAATATGATATTTTAAATTTGTTACAATAACGATATTATGTTAAGACTACAATCATATTTTTAACCATAATATGTTGCTCTTGGAACATGGTTACCACAACCATGTTTTTTCTCTGCGTGTATATAGAATATTGGTAGATTGGTGGAACTTCAACCCTATAGCTCATTCCGTTCGGACTCTATCGTGTTTTCGACAAACAGACAGACGGTATTGGCCGACCATATGATACCCTACACCAGTTACAAGTATGTATGTAAAAAATATCAATTATTTTAAATAATAAACCCTTTAAGATGTTTATTGCTTTTATTCCGAAATATTTTAAAAATTTGTTGACAAAAAGGAGCTATTTTCTGTAAGTGGGGTTATACTATTTTACATTAAAGTTATTTATAAATAGTGATATTAGTGTTTATAAGTGAACTTTGACCTTCAAGTAATTTTCTGAAGGGGACTTTGTATGGAAGCTAGGGTCAAATGAGTCCTGATCATTACGAAAATCTAAAACTAAGTTTTGACGATTTTGTAGAGATGGTTAGGTTAGGTTTACACAGGTAGCCAATTTCGGCTTTACTTGGGTCCATGTTGATCCCTTTGTAAAAATACCTGTAAGAAGAAGAAAAGAAAAGAGAGGGAGAGATAGAGGAGAGTGAAAGAACAGAGACATTTGCAGAGAGAAGAAGATGATGAGAAATGAGAAAGCCAGGGCAGCTGCCGTGGATGAGTAGTGTGAGTAATAGGATTCACACCCATTTTGACAAATTAATGAACTCTAGAAGACGTTCTAATTGAATGTTTGACAATTCGGTTAGATCACCAAAATAGGTCGATCCAAGCGTCTGAAAACGGGCCTCCGCCAAAGCAGGACAATCGCAGAGAAGATGAGTAATAGTCTCTTCTTCATCCTCATTTTGACAACTCCTACAGTAGTCGTTGAACGGGAGACCAATGCGCCTAGCATGGTTCCCAAATTTACAGTGGCCAGTGATTATTGATATCAGCCTACTTAACTGCGGTCTTTGGAGACCAAGAAGATATTTAGACCTTTGAGGATCCATTTGTGGCCACAGTGCTCTACATGTTGAGCACGTGTGTTCACGCGACCATTTGTCGCGAGCGATGCAGAGGCATTTTTCACTGATTTGCCTCTTAACTGCAAGTAGTTGTATACCGCAGAACTGATCAATATCCATTCTGCTAAGCATAGTGCCAGCTCTTGCCAATGTGTCAGCAATACCGTTGCCATACGAATTCCCATGTCCCTTTACCCAGATTAGGGTGATGTTCGAATGTCTCGCCATCTCATTGAGAGACGTCCGGCATTCATGGACAATTTTGGATGTGGAGAACACACCAGTTAGGGATTTAATAGCAGCTTGACTATCAGTATAAATTCTGATATCCCTATTAGATATCCGATAGTACCTTAGCCAATTTACCGCCCTCCTTATCGCCGATATTTCAGCCTGAAGGATACTACATTCATCATTAAGTCGAAAGGAGATTTTCGTTCCAAATTCCTCAATGAAAATGCCACCACCAACTCCTTTCGTCGTCTTGGATCCGTCTGTATACACTCGGAAGCAATTATTCGGCGGAAGGAGAGATTCCTCATACTCCGAAGATATATGATATTGGAACTTTCTCACTAGAGATGGTACTGGAATACAATAATCAACAATGTACTGATTATCCGGTATAAGATATATGATCCTAGCATGGCCTATGGAGCATTGTTTCCATTTGCCAGTTACACTCAATCTGGCCGCAGTTGACATAGCCAATTTCCTTGCAAGGAGATCGACCGAGAACCAGTTGAGCATAGTGAACAGCGCCTTCGAAGGAGTTGTTCTGAGAGCGCCTGTTATAAGAAGCGCAGTTGATCTCATTACTTTTTCCAGTTGTTGTCTGAGTGAAGCCTTTTCAAGCGCGTGCCACCATACAACAACCCCATATAGCATAATAGGTTTAATAACTGCCTCAAAGAGCCAGTGAACATTCTTTGGATTTATGCCCCAGCATGTTCCTATAGCCTTCCTACAAACATATAGTGCCGTAATGGCTTTAGATGCCCTAGAGAGTACATTTGTACTCCAAGATAGTCTCTTATCTAGGATAACGCCAAGATATTTAGCGCTGTCCGAGAGTTTTAATACTTCGCCGTTAAGGCAAGGAAGAGGAAATAAAGGAATCTTGTATTTGCTAGAGAATAGCACAAGTTCCGTTTTACTAGGATTTACACTAAGACCACATTCGACACTCCACGAGCTAATGATCTTTAGTGCTTGTTCTAGCCTTTGGGATATGGTTTCAAGGTGATCGCCTGATACCGCAACCGCGACGTCATCAGCATAGGCGACTGTTTTATAGCCAAGAGAGTCAAGTTTTACCAGAATATCATTTATGGCCATGTTCCATAAGAGTGGTGATAGTACTCCCCCTTGTGGAGTACCTCTTAAAGCTTTACTAGAGATTACTGTATCTCCTAAGGAGGATTCAATGATCCTATTTGAGAGAAGACTCTCGACAAATCCCACAACTGACCTACCAAACCCAGCCCGAGATAGAGATTGGCAGATAGATGCAGGATTGACGTTATTAAAAGCGCCTTCTATATCAAGAAAGGCAACCAGTGAATAATTTCCATACCTCATGGATTTTTCAATATGACCAACGAGAGTATGAAGAGCCGTCTCAACAGATTTGCCCTTCGTGTATGCATGTTGAGAGGCAGAGAGAAAGGATTTATCTATCGAGGTCCTAATGTGGATATCGATTATCCTTTCCAATGTTTTCAGCATAAATGATGCCAGACATATTGGTCTGTAATCTTTTGCCTTAGTGTGTGAAGTTTTTCCCCCCTTGGGAATAAAAATCACATTACACTTGGTCCATTGAGTAGGAATGTATGACCAAGAGAGACAGGCTGTGTATAAGTTCCGCAGCCAAGGAACTACAAGATCTATATTGTGTTGAAGATCTGCAGGAATAATACCATCAGGGCCGGGCGCTTTGTAAGGATCAAAGCTTTTAATTGCCCAACGGATAATGTCATCTTCAATAGGCACGTGTGTTACAGTCCGCATTGAAGTTGGAGAGAAATTAGTCAAATCACTAATTGGAATACAACCAGGAAAGTGAGTACTAAGCAGAAGCTCTAAAGTCTCCTGACTACCTGAAGTCCAGCTCCCATCCATTTTCTGTATATAGCTAGGAACAGAAGGGGACTTTGACAAAATTTTACGGAGACGACTGGTTTCGGAAGAGCTTTCAATATTGCTACAGAAAACCCTCCACGAGTTCCGCTTCGCATTCCGAACCAGATTTTTAAACTTATTAACGTTTGCCTTATAAAGGGACCAGTTACCTGATCTCTTAGCCTCGTTAAAAGAACGGCGGCATGTCCTTCTCATGCTCTCTATGTCAGGACTCCACCACGGTGGTTTGTCCTTTTTTAGGCCACTGGATAATCTACAAGATCTCTTCGTGGCAACGCTCAGAGAACTAGCAATCCAATTTGCAGCCAAATCAATATCCCTTATGCTCTCTACCGTCGGAGCAGAGGGAAGAATAGTACTCAGAGAAGCTTTGTGCCTCTCCCAATTTGTTTTCCTTCTATTTAGAAAGGGTTTTGAAACTTTGACCTGGACCACTATGTCAAAGTCCAGGTAGCGGTGATCAGAGAAGGAGCAGTCATTGGAGACATTCCAATCTTTGATCAATTCTATGTAGTTTGTACTAATAGCTGTAATATCCAGAACTTCCTTTCTGTTTGTCACAACAAAAGTAGGTTCTGAACCTCTATTAACGACTGTCATATTAAATTCTAATAAAAAGTCAAGTAAACACTCACCTCTACTGTTGGTGTCTGAACTGCCCCAGACACTGTGATGAGCATTTGCATCAGCGCCAATTATCACAGGAACGTGACGCCTATTTGCTTCGCGCATTAGATCTCTGACCAGGTCGTTTGGCGGTTGTTCACCATGGTCATGCGCCATATAGCAGCTAAGGAGCCAGATGGTGGAGTTTCCGGTCTCAAGTGCCGCCGCTACCGTATCCTCATCGCTGTAATCAGATAAGATGAAGATATCTAAATGGTTTTTGGCCAGAATACAGGCTCTAATATTTTTAATATTACCTGCAGGATTTGAAAACAGAAGTTTGTAACCTCTGAGAGATAGTCCAAGGATTTTGCCGTGGTGGGTCCACGGTTCTTGGACCAAGATGAGCTCCTCCCCTCTCTCAGCCATCCGGAGGAGCAAAGCAGCTGATGCTGCTTTGGAGTGGTGAAGGTTAATCTGGGTTACCTTCACCATCTCCGAGATCAGGATCGTACACGACAGTGACGTCGACGTCCTCAGGATCGGAATCCTGCGAACTGTCTCCATCCTCCGCTAACTTCAGATTGCCAAGAAGCTCACCCATTATACCTGTGGTAGACTGGGAGTCTTCTTGGTTCTCAGAACCAGCGGGATCGTCGGCCTTTCCATTATCCTCCTTGGACGGAGCCTCCGGCTTAGTACCAGAGGCGGCTGCGCTGCGTTTGGCGTCACTGCGATAAATGCGAAGGGAGATACTATCAAAACCATAGTAAACTTTACCTCCGCATTCACGCAATGGCGCCAACGTTTCCTTATTAAGGACAACAGTCGCCTTTCTGACATTTCCCATCGGGGCGGAAACCTTCACCACCTTCCAATCATGGGTAGGTAGATGAGGATTTCCGCTTTGTAGGAAAGCCAAAATTTCCGCCGGGTCATGTGGCTCAGTTGGGATGGTGGCAATTGATCTCGGCCTGCGAGGAATTTCGCTAACCGGGATCACGTCCAACCTTGCACCTGGCCACACTTCCCCAAGGGATTGAATAGCTAGCTTGAGCAGAAGCGCAGAGCGCTCATTTGAACAAGCTAGCAGCTTAATGTGACCCTGGTACCAACCAGCATCATCGTTTTGGGGGGCGGGTCCTGGATTCTCCTTGAGGATCTTCCAGTACACGCCTAGCATCTTCTGACGGATAGTCCCCCATTTTTCCTGGGAGATGGCTCCGTCGCTGTTGCTTTGGTCAACAATAGCCCTTACCAGTGGGTTTCTAGCCACCTCACTGAAAGGTCTATTGATGACAATGGTTTGCGCCTGTTTTTGACGTTTAGTCGGCTGGTCGTTCGGCATAGAAGTAAGGGTCTCCTCCTCAGATCGTTGCCGTTTAGGCGCCTCGGCAGCAGGTCTAACCACTTCTGCCTCAGCTGGAGGATCGGAGCCCTTTAGCCTAGCCAGGAGGCTTTTCGCCCAATCGAGGGACGATTTCTCGTCTCTCGTTAAAGCATCGTTGGGTTTGGCGCCATGACGCTCAACGATGCGCTCGGCGGCCCGCCGATTTAATTAATCGGCGGCCCGCCGTTTAATATAATTATGAGCTCAAAAGCCCTATTCGGGGGTTTACGGTTGTATGAGGGCTAGGCGAAATAATTGACCGAATTTAATCAAATTATCTTGAAAACTGCACAAGGTTTACATGAACATGCAGCCTGACAGATGGGCGGGCATTGCTAAATCGACTTAGAAATTGATTCTGAGCCGATTGTTATACTTTAAGGTATGTGTAGTATCAATATTTTTGGGTGTTACAAACATCAGCACAAACAAATAATACCCTCCTCACTATAGTGGTGAAGGATCCGAAATCTCTCTAACAAATTTTATGAGGATAGCTTAAAAACTTACCTTATGTCCCATACAAGTTCACCTTCAGAAAATCCGAAACAGGATTGAAATTTGACATAAACAAAAATATGAAACATCGCTGAAATTCGACATAAACATCCCAGTAAAAATTTGCATTACCACGTAGAGGGGTTAAAATGCTAAAATTTACTTACACAATAGCATTTTAAGTCATTATTTTAACACGGTGGTGTCATTCGAGGCAAGTACTTACCACAAACGATTACAAGTAATTAGAAAAAGTAGTCATTGTAAATCGCATGAAAAAACATATACAGCTTCTATATCTTCACTGAAAATATGACTAATGAATTAGAATGTATTTATATATCACATTATTAGTAAGTCCTTATTAGACTACTTCTATGTAATCAACACGATATGTAGTAGTCATTGAAAAGTATGTTGTTAGGTAAGTAATTACAATTGAAAGCCATTTGTTGCCTAGATTTTGCTGGAAAACTTAATAAGCATTTGATACTTTCATTAAAAACGCAATAACAAACAGCAATTTACTGTTACTTCAAAAAAGTGGAGATTAATCGTTTTGCAAGTTGAGGCATATATAATAATGTCAACCATATTAAATTCATTAATTTATTGGGTGAGTAAGTATAAACTATACATATGTGCGATTTTACTTAGATGTCATCGTTACTGCAAAAAAGAATCTGATTTAATCGTATTAGTGTTTGGTCAATGAAAATGCATTCATTTGTGCAATAATTTAATTAATTTCACACTTTCATTTTAAAATGTTGATAAATGATAATTTGTTTAAATTGAAATTTAATTACTAAATTGCTTAGAAATTATTTATTTTTGATAAATAAATTTAAAAGTATACGAAAACATAAATAATTTTAAAATTGATTTTGTAAAACTTTTGATTGAAAGCACTAACAGACCTCTATATAATTAGAACGAGATGGATTAGTTGAGGTAAGATGACGTAAGATTTTAAATATGAGATTTATTTAAGTTCATTAGATTAGGTAATATCAATGCAATATTTCAATACTCCCCAGAAATATTCACATTTTACATTTCTATAATAATTGGCTAAAATATTGACTTATTATTAAATCAGTCTGACATTTGCTTCTATTAAAACATCTAATACATACATATGTTAATATGTACTTAAATATGTATCTTAATTAACTATAGAATATTGAAACTTTTCAAAATCAATATATAAACAAGTAAGAAATTACCATCGGGCGAGGCCGACCATATAATACCCTACACCTGTTACAAAAATAAAATGTGATTTTGTTTTCATAATAAAGCATTGTAGGTGAATTGTACATTGCCTCACATATACTTAAGCCATTTATTGTTGAATAAAATTGTGGACATTGTGGACTATTCGTCGGGTTGGGGCTAGGTGAAATAATGGATCGATGTTAACCATTTTCAATAGGCTTTGTCTCTGGTACCATAGAAGATCATTTGCCAAATTTCATTGAATTATCTTCAAAATTGCGACCTGTAGTTTGACTACAAGGTTTACCAGCCATATTCAGCGATTCAGTTGTATGGGGGCTAGGTGAAATAATGGACCGATGTTAACCATTTTCAATAGGCTTTGTCTCCGGTGCCATAGAAGATCATGTGCCAAATTTCATTGAATTATCATCAAAATTGTCTCCGGTGCCATAGAAGATCATGTGCCAAATTTCATTGAATTATCATCAAAATTGTCTCCGGTGCCATAGAAGATCATGTGCCAAATTTCATTGAATTATCATCAAAATTGCGACCTGTAGTTTGATTACAAGGTTTACAAGCCCTATTCCGGGGTTCAGTTGTATGGGGGCTAGGTGAAATAATGGACCGATCTTAACCATTTTCAATAGGCTTCGTCCCTGGGACAATAGAAGATCATGTACCAAATTTCATTGAATTATCTTCAAAATTTCGACTTGTAGTTTGATTACAAGGTTTACCTGGACGGACAGACGGACGGACAAAGCTAAATCGACTCAGAAAATGATTCTAAGCCGATTGGTATACTTCAAGGTGGGTATAGGATCAATATTATTGTGCGTAACAAACATCAGCACAAACCCAATATACCCTCCCCACTAAAGTGGTGTAGGGTATAAACAATATAATTGGATTCTTAACATTTCTTGACACTGAAGTAATATGTACAAAGCAGTCGATAGAAATTTACTCCAGCAATAAAATGAAGAAGTAATTTATAATTGAAATATGTTTGCAGCATCCATAAAGCCCAAAAGATACTGATTGTATCTTTTACCAAAATTATCAAATGCTAATATATAGGCTATACATACCAACTATCTGTATCCTGATATTCTATACAAATTAAAAAATATATATAATTAATTAATTTAATTGTAGTACATATTTGTTGTTCTTGTTCATTAGATATTTGCTCATAAATACTTAATTTTATAAGATCTTTAAAACACTTTATAGTGTTGTAAGCCTTAAGGGTTATTTCTACACTTTTGTTTAGAGTAATAAATACATTTATACAATTTCTCAATTATCACCATGTATATTTTCATCAAGCTATTAAAATAATGATTAATCATTTGTTTATGTACTAGATTTAAATAAGCATTATTAGGGTGTTTAATTTTCTATGTTAGTGAAATCTGATGTTTGTAACAATCGTTTATGGTTTCGAAGTTGTCGTAGAATCATTAATCTAACAATGATAACGATATTTATTATAAATTTTCAATGTGGATAAGTATATTAACTCATTTAAAATAAGTATTTGAAATATACCACTATAGTGGGGAGGGTATTATGCGTTTGTTTATAACACCCAAATATATTGATCCAACACCCACCTTAAAGTATACCAGTCGGTTCACAATCACTTTCTTATTCGATGTCCGTTTTTGTGTCCGTGTTAAATACAAATATATTTAAGTTTATTTAGTACTAGCTATACCCAGTGTGCTTTGCTACACTAACATCAATGTATATAAAAAAAACACTTTACAATTTTGAAGATTCTAACTATAATAGTTTTACAGAACTTGCAAATTATTGCAAGTTCGCCAATTTTTCCAAACGTTAATTTAGAATTTAATGTAACCTATGAAAAATTTTAATAATATAATAGTTTCCCAGATGTACGAAATTTTGTATTTAATTCATATAGGAGATGCCAAGGTCCCTTTGAAAGTCCTCCCATTTTTCTCTAAATGTTCACATGAATGTCAAAGTTTATCATGTAAAGTTTTCTTGCTCTAATAGTTTCTCAGATATATGAATTTGTTATTTAATTCATATGGGAGGTTCCAATTTGCTAGTCCGCCAATTTTACCCAAATATCTACATTGATGTCAAAGGATTTTTGCTCTAATAGTTTTCCAGACATTTTTTCCTATTTAATTCATATGTCAGTACACAAACTACCCGCACCTCTTAAATAAAAGTCCGTCCATTTTCCCCAAAATGTCCAAACAAATGTTAAATTTCTTCGTGCAAAATTTGAAGAAATTAGGTCTATTAGTTCCCAGACAAACAACAACGCCAACTTATTACTCAAATGTTCACATGGATGTTAAAGTTGTTCTTACAAATTTTGAGGATTTTAGCTGTAATAGTTTTTCAAATATACGAATTTATCTATTTAATTCATATGGGGGTTCCAAGCCCCCCTGATAAAAGTCTGCCCTTTTTCGCCCCCTTTTTCCTTAAATAATCATATTGACACTAAAGTGGTTCCGACATAATTTGAGGACTCTATCTGTTCTATTTTCTCAAATATACTAATTTAAGGTTTTCTTCATATGGAAGGTGCCAAGCCCACTATAGCCACTCCGTCCATTTTATCCAAAAGTATTCTTATGGGTGTCACAATTGTCCATGCAAAATTTAGGGACTCCATCACTTGCAGTTTCTGAGGATATCCGACTTTTAATACTTATTTTGAATGTGGGCATGTCAAGTCGCCCACTTGAATTTTGAAGTAGAAGTAGCCTATAGTCCTTCCTAGACATACAGGAAGACTATGAAAATTTCAAAAAAATCGGTCTAGCCGTTTTAGCTGTCTATAAAGTCCAAACAAACAAACAAACATACATACAAGGACCAATGACCAATATATTAAAACTGGTTAAAATCGGTACCATTATTTAACCTAGCCACCTAACATATATGGCTTTTGAGCACATAATTATGTAAAATATTCTTGTATCTCATCAAAGAGTAGCACAAATATGTTAGTAGTTAGTTAGTTAGTTAGTTAGTTAGTTAGTTAGGTAGTTAGTATTAGTTAGTTGTTAGGTAGTTAGTAGTTAGTTAGTTAGTAGTTAGTTTAGTTAGTTAGTTAGCTAGTTAGTTAGTTAGTTAGTAGTAGTTAGTTAGTTAGTTAGTTAGGTTAGTTAGTTAGTTAGTTAGTTAGTTAGTAGTAGTTAGTTAGTTAGTAGTAGTTAGTTAGTTAGTTAGTTAGTAGTTAGTTAGTTAGTTAGTAGTTAGTTAGTTAGTTAGTTAGGTAGTAGTTAGTTAGTTAGTAGTTAGTTAGTTAGTTAGTTAGTAGTTAGTTAGTTAGTTAGTTAGTAGTTAGTTAGTAGTAGTTAGTTAGTTAGTTAGTTAGTTAGTTAGTTAGTTAGGTTAGTAGTTAGTTAGTTAGTTAGT